TCTTTTCCAAAAATTCGAAATATCTACTTTCCCACTAGGCTACCAGCCGGGCCGCCCGGGTTCCGGGTGGCCAGCCCGTGCAAGGATCAGGTAAGGTCCCAGCCAAAAAAAAAAAATAAAAAAAAATCCAAAAATTCTGAAAAAAAAACTATGTTATGCAGAAAACTAAACTGAACAACTTTTGCCTCAGAGTCACATCGAAATTGTTCACCAAATTTAAAATAAAAAATAAAATGCAAAAATATTTTATTTATTTTTATTTATTTTAATTATTTTGGCCCGGCCGGGCAAGTGGCCCCGGGCCACTCTAGTAGCCTAGCTTTCCCACCTTCTTTTCTCATTTTCTGATTCATTTTATTTATTTTTCTATTTAGTCTGAAAATTCGATTTTCTTTACGGCAACCCTAAATCTGATTAGGTGTTAGTCTTTATTACTTTCGGCACACGTTTTGACCCCGTGGGGATAACGAAGTGCTGGCGAAATTTTCTGTTTTTTCTTTCACTTAGTCTTCTCGGCACACTTCGACCCCATGGGGGTAACGAAATGCTGCCAAAATTTTTGACAAATTAGATACTTCATTCCTCCCCACCTCCTCATCCACTTTTCACTTCTTTATTTATTTATTTATTTATCTCTTTATCTATTATTTCTTTATTGATTTTCTGAAATTTTTTTTTGCGGCATCTTGACACCTAGTGTGCTCACCTTGGTTTCTCCCTTCCCCTTGGCACATTCTTGACCCCGTGGGGGGTAGGGAAATGCTGCCGAAAAGTTTTAAAAAATAAATATTGTTTTCCCTTCACATCTTTTTACTTATTTCTTTAATTATTTTTATTATTTATTTATTTTCTTATTTATTTTTATTTTCTCTCGAAATCTCGCTGTCTATTTATTTTTCTCCTGCCTTCCCCCCCCTATGCTTGCTCTTTTACTTTCTTGATTAGGTCACCGGTACCCTACCCTAACCACTTAAACCTCGGTTAGGGTTTTCTTAGGGTTTTTGTAGGGTCAAGGGTTCCTCAAACCCCCCCTACTTCCCCGTCCTCTTCGGGCACCCTGGACCCGAACCACCCCTCCCCCTTYGACGGCGCCCGTGCTAGCCTTGCTAGCGCCGTTCGCCGCTTTCTACCGCGGACTTCCCCCTACGCCCTCCGCTCACGCGGACCTCTTCTGGCCCCCTCTAGTCCGGTCCGTCATCTCCCCATGGCCGACGGTGTGTCACACGCCGCCGACACGGCGATGGCCACGGCATCGGGCTCCACACCCGTGCCGGCGGACCAGGGCCATCAGCCCTAGGGGGATCTGCACACCCTCCTCACCTCCCTCCTTGCGCCCATCCAGGCGCAACTCGCGACCCTTGCGCCCATCCAGGCGCACCTCGCGACCCTCGGGCCCTTACAGGCGCAGGTGGCAACCCTTGCCGCCGGCGTGCAACAACTCCAGGATGCTGTGTGTCCTCCATCTCCTGGCTCCCAGTCCGGGTCCCCCGTCCTCCGACAGGGTGGCCACGGCGGAGCTTCCTCCTCCGCCGCCCCCGACCCGACCATCTTGGTGACTGTCCACGCCCCTAGCACGACGGCCGCCACGAGCTAGGCCCTCCCTCAATCCATGGGCGCACCCGCCCAGATTCTGGTCACGACGGCCACGGGACCACAACCCGCTACTATGGTCTCAGCTTTTCCGGGTGCCCCACTCTTCCCCCCTCTTCGCACGACCGCAGCGCCATCTGGCTCTACCCCTTGTGGGATGCCTCGCGCCGCTCGTGCGTCTCCTCCTGCCACACCTCGCTCGACCTACGTTCGAGGTCTCGAGGACGCGATCGCCCAGCTCCAGGCCGACCTCACCCTCTCACGCCTTCAGCCACCCCCACCCTCACAGGTGGCCGCGCCTTCCGGCGCACCCCCTTCGTCCTCTATTCTTCCTTCCATGCAGGCTCGCTTCCCTCGCCCTGCACCCTACCCATCTCCATCCTACCTCCTCCCCATCCCCTCGGTTGCTGCGACCTCTTCTACCGCAGCTCCCGCGCAGCCTGCTGCTGTTTCCCCCACCGCTCCACCATGCTGCCCGGGCGTATAGTCAGTTGCGCCTCCCCCTCCAGGACCTGCGCCGACTTATTCCGCCGTAGCGCAGTCCCCTGCTCCCCGTTCCCCTCACCGCCAAAATGGTGGTGCACCACTCATCCGCTTGTCGGACATTCCCTTGTATGACAGTACAGGCATATGCGTGTCTAGGTGGCTGTAGTCTGCCACCCGCACGCTCCAGCTCATGGGCGCCACACCCGACACGTGGGTGGGTCACCTCTCCACGCGCCTGCGTGGTGCTCCTTTCGACGCCTGGGAGGATTTCTATGCTTACTCCCTGCGTGAGGGTCGGACTCCGACCTTCATGGATTTCCAGGCGTTCCTCGAGGATCGCTTCGGAACCCGATACGACGTGACTGACGCCTTCGAGCGTGTCGTCACTACACGCTGGTCCGACTCTGGTGGCGCTGCCGGCCTGGATCGCCACATCCAGGTCTTTCAGGACGCCCGCCTCGTTTGTGACGTGGCGTTCCTTCCCGAGGCTGCCCCTATCGATCGTTTCTTGGCCAGCCTCCCGCTCGAGTACCGCTCCGAGCTATGGCGGTACAAGTTCACATCGGCCCCGCACGCTTACGAGGCCGCCAGAAACCATAAGCGGATGCGAGCCCGTCTTCACCCCGCCTCCTCCTCCCAGCCTCAGCGCACGGGTTACGCCTCCTCCTCCTCTCACAACACTTCCCAGCGCCGTTCCCCTTTCCGCGGTCGCCCCCGCCGTTCAGGACGCTGGTGCCCCGTCGTCGCCAGAGGGTGATCATAGCGATGACCTCGACCTCGGCGATGCCGTTCAGCACCACCTGGAGGACCCTACTCTCCCTATGGCTGAGCACCTCCAGCTTATCCTCTCCACCCTTTCCCGGGCACGCAGCCGCCCTGGTCACGCTGGCTCGTCGCCCCCCGAGGTCCCTCAGCAGGACCTTCCTCAGGGCTTTGTTCCTCCTCGCGGTGTCCTTTCCGCCGAGGAGCGCGCGGCTATTATGGGCCGACGTGGGTGTTTGCGATGTCGTCAGGACGGTCATACCTCCTCGCGGTGCCCTTATACCACCGCCCTTGACTGCCACTATGCTGACCTTTCCCGCCAGCGTCGTGCTCAGTCCCCCCCCGACGCCCTCGCATCCCCGCGGCGCCTCCTAGCCACGGTGCAGTGTACACCTGCGCCCTCCTCAGTAGTGGGCTTCCCGACATCTCCGTCGCGGTTCGCCCCTCTCGCTACTGGAGTTGAGGTATCGCAGGACTCGACAGAGTGTACTCAGCCCTCTGTCGCAGTACCGTCTGCGCCTCCACAAACCATCGTCTCCCCTCCTTCCCCGCCGCGACTACTGACGCGTCGAGCCATTCGCTCAGCCCGTTGCAGCGAGCAGCTCGTGACTCGCGAGGACGTTGTGTCCTCTCTTCTGGACTTGAGCATGCTCCAGGCTCGTACGGAGCGACTCACCCTCCATGTCGCTGCACTGCGTCGCCTTCTCGCCATCCTCTCTGACCCTGATCGCACCCTCCCGATCATCCCAGTACGACTCGGGACCTCCACGAGGGTGTACTCCGCGCTGTGGGATTCCGGTTCTCAGGGCGACTTTATTCACCCACGCGTGGTGAAAGAAGCTCGCTTACCCACAACAGGGTCTCCGACTCCCATCTCCGTTACCTTAGGGGATGACAAGACCCAGCGCTTCTTCGATCACCGACCTCCCTTTCTTCCTCACTCTGGAGCTGACTGATCGTTCCCTGGCGTCTTGTCGCCACCGCTTCTCTGCACATTTTGATGTGATGGAGACGGGGTACGACTTCATTCTCGACACTCCGTGGTCTCGTCGGTTCCGCAGCACCGAGGCCGATTGGGCGACCAACACTCTCGTTCTCAAAACGAAGTGCGGACAGACGTATCGCGTACCTTTCATAGGTACCACTGCGACACCATGCCCCGATCCTCCTCTCCCGGAGCCTTCTGTGCCCACACCTTCTCCTTCTATCACTGTCACTTCGCCTCGGCAGTTCGCCCACTTCATCCGACAGGATGACGTCACCTTCTTTATGGTGAACGTGACGGATGTCTTACACGATGATCCACCCTGTACCGACGTCGAGCTCCTCCCTCTGGAGCCAGATCCACCTTCTATCTCCATGGCTCCCATCTCTACTTCCGTCCCTCCGCCGTCCGTCGAGTCCACCCCGCCGTCGCGCGCTGACGCTGACGCTGAGGAACTCGCACGATATACGGCTGACCTGGAGCCCGCAGTTCGTGACCTCATCTGAGAGTACCACGACGTTTTTCCATCGTCGTTCTCGTACGTCGGCATCCCACCGATGCGTGACGTCGAACACTCCATTCAGCTTGTGCCTGACTATCGTGTTCACCACCAGGCACCCTACAGACTCTCGATTCCCGAGGCCACCGAACTCAAACGTCAGCTTGAGGAGCTCCTGAGACTGGGTTTCATTAAACCCAGCAACTCCCCGTGGGGTGCACTCGTCCTCTTTGCTCGCAAAGTGGATGGAACTCTCCGTCTCAGCATCGACTATCGCGGTCTCAACTGCTACACGGTTAAGAACAGCTACCCCATGCCTCGTTCTGATGAGCTGTTCGACCGCCTAGCAGGCAACCATTTCTTTACGAAGATTGATCTTCGTAGCGGTTACCATCAGATCTGCGTCGCTGCAGCCGACCAGCCGAAGACATCGTTCCGATCGCGCTTCGGCCACTATGAGTTTACGGTGATGCCATTCGGCCTCACCAATGCACCCGCCACCTTCCAGAGGGCGATGAACGACATCTTCAGGGACATCCTGGAGTAGTACGTTCTCGTCTACCTCAACGACATCCTGGTCTACAGTCGTACCCTTGAGGAGCACCTCAGACACCTCCGCGACGTCCTTGACCGCTTGCGCAGACATGGCTTCTACGCCAAGCTGAGCAAGTGCCGCTTTGCTCAGCACAAAGTGGATTTCTTAGGACACTACGTGCCTGACCAGGGTCTCCACATGGACGACGTGAAGATCACTGCTATTGTGGAGTGGCCGCCCCCACATCCGCCAAGCAGCTTCACAGCTTCCTAGGCCTGACCAGCTACTATAGTAACTTTATCCAGGGATACGCTAGGTATTCCTACGTCCTTACCTCCACCCTCCTCCGGAAGAACCCACCCTGGGCTTGGACATCCCTCCACGAGGACGCCTTCCGCGCCCTCGAGAAGGCGGTGACATGCGCATCGGTTCTTCACCTACCCGATTTTGACCGCCCTTTTATCCTTACCACCGATGCGTCAGACTTCGCGGTAGGAGCAGTGCTTTCTCAGGTTTTCCCCTCCTCTCCTGATTCCTCTCATCCCCATATCCCTCGCTTCCCACCACCTACCCCTACCACTGCTTCCCGACTGACGCCTACTCGTCCAGCTACTGACGAGCCTTCTATTGACTATTCTCCTACCATCGCCGAGGACGACATTGTCGAGTCTCGCTCAGGTGATTGTCCGATAGCCTTCTACTCCCGTCAGCTTCTGCCTGCCGAGATAAACTACACTGCTGATGAACGTGAGGTTATCGCAGTAGTTTATGCCGCTCGACAATGGCGTCACTACCTGCACGGGGCACCGTTCACGGTGCGTACGGACAACTCTGTTGTCTAGGCTTTTCTGACAAAACCGAAGCTCACTCCTCGACAGGCTTGCTGGTGGCGCGACCTATCCGAGTCGAGTTTCACCACTGAGCACATCGAGGGTGAAACTAATCGGGTCGCTTATGCCTTATCCCGGCGCCTTGACCACGACCAGGAGCAGATCCAGCTCTCTTCCATCTCGGTCACCACTGTCCACCACTCGGTAATCGACGAGTTTCGCACTCAGTACCGTCACTGCCCCGACTATCGCGACATCCACGCGACCCTTCGGAGTGGCAAGACCGTCCCGAACTACTCTCTCGGGGATAACGGTCTCGTGTACTGGCACGGTTCACATGGCACCAGAGAGCCCCGTATTTGCGTTCCCTCCACTGGACAGCTATGTATCCGTGCAGTAGCAGAGTTCCATGACCAGGCAGCCGCCGGTCATATGGGCTTCCACACGACGTTGAGTCGTGTGAGCCGCCTGTACGTGTGGCCGAAGCGCAAGGACTTTGTGAAGGACTACGTCGCAGAGTGTCCCACCTGTAAGGAGGTGAACAGTGCGAACCACCTGCCTTATGGTTTGCTCCAGCCTCTTCCTATCCCTGAGGGTCGTTGGCAGTCCATCTCGATGGACTTTATCAGTCCTCTTCGACCTCAGACCCCCGCGGTCATGATGCTATCATGGTCGTCGTCGACCGCTTCACAAAGCGTGCATGCTTTGTTCCGTGCCGCTATGCCATCAATGCACGTGAGGTCGCCGACATCGTGTTTGACCGAGTCGTGCGTGACCACGACTTACCTCTGAGTATCATATCTGACCGTGACCCGTGCTTTACCAGACGATTCTCGCGACGGCTCCACGAGGTGTACGGCACTCAGCTCCGCTTCTCCTCGTCTTACCATCCTTAGACTGATGGTCAGACCGAGGTCACAAACAGGACTCTCGGAGATATTCTCCGAAAGATCGTTCGTGACGACCAGCAGTGGGATCTCCATCTTGCCCACGCGGAGATAGCCTACAACCACGCTGTCTCGCCAGCCACGGGGATGTCGCCTTACTATTGCGACCTTTGCTATCACCCTCGTGTTCCCGCGGACTTCCTTCGACCGTCACAGATGCACCCCGACACGAGTTGTCCCGCGCTGGATGATTGGGTTGCACACATGACGTCGATCATGAAGACCGCACATGAGCACATAGCCGATTCCCAAACTCGCATGGCAGCACGTGGGAACCGATCGAGAATGAATCATCCATTTAAAGTCAGTGATGATGTGCTTATCGACGCCCGCCACTTACAGCTCGAAGCAGACACGCTTCGCAAGTTTCGGCGTCGCTTCTTTGGCCCATGCCGCATCCTCCAGGCCGTCGGTTCTGATACGACATCTAGCCCGGTCAGCTTTCGTGTGAAGCTGCCCGACTACCTACGCCAGGCTCGTGTGCACGATGTCTACCACGTCTCATTACTGCGTCCTTACCGCAGACCGTCTGAGCGTTTCGCTGGACGACCATACGAGAGCCCTCCACCCATCATGGTGGACGGCCACGAGGAGTTCCTCGTTTCAAACATCATTGGTCGCCGAGTCACCGACGACAACCCTCCCCACGTCGAGTATCTCGTACGTTGGAAGGGTTACCCTGATGAGGAGGCTACCTGGGAGCCCCTCGAGCACTTGCAGCACGCTCTCATGTTGGTGCGTGCCTGTGACCGTGCTCGTCGTGCTGGGTTCACTGCTCCTCCTCAGCCCACTGACCCTCCTCCTTCTCCCCCGGCTGAGGACATCGCTGAAGTCGAGCCTGCTCCATTTGAGGCAGACCTTCAACAGCAGCTGGATGCTTCTGAGCGTCCACAGCGCACTCGTCGTCGTCCTGCTCGATACGACGATTAACTCTGACTTACCTTCCCACGTCCTTGACTTCTCAGTACTCCATACACATCAGTTTTACTACTTCAGCTCGTCGACGTTGCAGCTCTTCCTCGACGACATTCCGAATTTCTCATCGTGGACGTCGTCGGCAGCTTCATGGACTTCATCACGATCAGCTCTGCCTACTTCAGACGCCGCCACTCTCTTACCACTTTACCCTGTATAGTACCCTGCTTGTGTCGCATGATGGTCTCCCTTTTGCCGGGTTCCTCTGAGTTGGGCTCTCCCTTGGTATACGCATAGGCATCGGGACCGTAGCGTTGCCCTGGCTTCCCATTTTACGGATCTAGCTCCGACTTCCCTCACTTTAGGAGTCATTTGCATGATTCCCCTACCCATCACCTCTACCCTCTGCCGGCCCTCACGCCCTAGTTAGGCAGCCCCGCATGGTCCATCTAGGTGCGCCCAGTATACCAGGCTCCCTTGTTCCCTTGCATGGTCGACCCTCCATAGCGGTCACCCCTTAGTCGAGCATTACCCGCCCTGATGGTCTATCTGTTAGGGTCATTGGTTCTGTTCGCTCCCAGTTCCCTATCCTCATTGAGCCTGATGATATGTGTTTTCCCTGTCACTATGTGTGGATGCCCTTAGGAGTTTTCGACCCCTAGGCTGCATTCGCCACCCTCAAAGACCATCCCACCCTTTGGTTTGCGACACATTTCTCATGTGACATATGGTTGTCTTGTGATTGCTTTGTTGCTCTCAGACTGAGGCTACTGCCTCTGACATTTCAAGGATTTAGCTGTTCTGCTTTTGCTGTTCTTAGGACTTATACACTAGTCAGCTGTTACCAGACCGAGGCTACTGCCTCCAATATTCTAGGATCTAGTTGTCACTACTTTCTGCTTTCCTAGGACATGTATGCTAGTTAGTTGCTTTTGCTTTCCTAGGACATGTATG